AGCTGTACTAAAAGTTGTTCAGACAAATACCAAAAATTTAACAGTGCAGGACAAATCATATTGGATGCAGATGCACAACAATTAAAACAAATTTGCTGTCCTTGCAAGCAATTAGGATGAATTCTGGTCTGAAGTTGCAAGGCCCCTGGATTTCAATGAGATGAAAATAATTTAATCCGTGTGATTGCTTCTGTCTTGTTCTTTGATATTGCTGTGATTGCCTATTCTTCTTTAGTCCAAAACAACTGAGACAAAAAAGAAGTGTCACACACATTTTTATAAAAAAAGAACAATACAGGATGTTAAAAAAATGTTTCATCAAAGGTGGTACCATTTAAAATGCTAAGCAGGTACTGGAGAGGTGACAAATTCAAGTTCGTACTCAGTGTTTTTATGTCAGATCTTTCAAGTTTTCATTTGCCAGGCACTTGTTTAATTTTTTTATGTGTTCAGTTAGTCATATTCAGTTCTCTTTTATGTCCACTTCTTGTGAATCACTTGACAGATGGTCTTCTATAAGCACATCCCTTTGGGGAAAGTAAATTTTAAGTCATAATAAGAACATAAGACCTGCCATGCTGGATCAGAGCAAAGGTCTATCAGTCCGTGCTGATTCTGGCAGTAGCCCAGAGTAGTATGTTAGGTTTTAATGGTCAGGGATTTGATCTTTCAGTGAGTACTAAGCAGAAAATGAAAAGGAATTCCAAGAGCAGAAAACCAGAAGAAAAAGCAAGGATTTCTCCCCGTGCCTCAGACATAACTCGAGGTCTCTGTCCCCCCAGCAATACATATCACGAGCATGCTTTCCCTCACAGGGGGCACTGAGATAGTGAAACTTGCATACCAATGGCAGTTATGTTCTGAGGCCCCACCACATACAGCTACTCTGGAGGACTGCCTTCAGATTTTATGTTGTAGAATGGAAGTGTATAATCAGACTCTAGCAGCGTGAAAAGAACTTGTTGGAGAAGGATGAGAAGAAGACAAGCAAGTCGCTATAGGTGCAGTTTGAACCCATACTGAACACTTAGAAATTTGGATTTGCACAAAGTACACCATCAGTAGCTGAAACATTTCTTTTCTGTTACTTGCAGCAGCTCTGTACTTAAAAGTGCTCAGGATTTCTCTCATCTTTTTAATTGCTGCTGTTTCAATTAAATTTTGTCATAACAGCCCACCTGGAGACGCAAAAGGAATTTGAACAGGTTGTGAGCAAATTAAATAATTGTGGAAATTATAAAGTTTACCCCTACTGGCCATTGCAGGAAAAACTGCATACAGGGTGCATGTTTTTTGTAACCTTAGTGCTTTTGGGAAACTTCAGGAAAAAAGGAGTTTTCCTGCCAAAAATCTGTGAGGATCACTGATAATTTGTTGCTCAGCATTAGGTTCATTAGATCTATGCGCTTCATTATCTGATTAATTCAGAAGCAGGTTTGTAATCAGTGATGTTTAAGATTCTTCTGCTCTGGCCTCCACAACCTTCTGCAGCTCATTCGATAAGCTCATCAGATTGAATTTTCCACCATGCTGTTTATTGTAGCTCTAATGGAAGACAGTCACTGCAAAATTACACACTCGGCAGGTAATTTCTAAAAGCCATAAGTTGTGGAATCGCTGCTCTTTCATTGCCTTTCTATAGAAAGGTAAATTGCGGTGATTTATGTTAGAATTTGCAGAGCTATTTTGCAACATAACATGTAATGAAATGCTACTGAAAATATTGGGTTTTTTTTGTCTTTGCCATTCTTCCTATCACCTACCTGCTCTTTCAGAGTTGCTGTGTGATGAGCTGACTTTAATACTCATACTTTCCCATCTTTGTGATTTGTTTTTGTTTGTTTGTTTGTTGTGTTGTTTTTGTTTGGTTGGGGTTTTTTAGAGCATTAAGTGCTTTCTTCTCCTGCTCTTATCTTGGGATAAATAATAATAGTAAAAATACCAAGACACATTTTTGGTCCTCGTGTTTCACAGATTGGTTGCTATAACCCACATAGTGCTGAAGGGCATGGTTTTGGTCATACAGTGGGGAACCAGTCATCTGGCATGCCCTGAATGTGCCAGCCTCAGGCTAGATCCTCCTTTGGGGATTTGTTTTCAGTCACACTCATTTCATGAATAAGCAGCAAGCTGCATAATGCCAGCTCTGCTTCCTCCACCTCCATGGATGTGACAGCTTGAGTAGGAAGCGCCACGTGCACCCAGGTCATGGGAGTGAAATGTGCTGCTCAGGAAAAGGTCAGGGGTAAAAGTCATAGCAAAATATATCCCCTTAAAGTGGATGGCACTCTTGCTTCTCATTGCTTAAAATAATATTGGGGCTTTTGAAATATTGAAATCTATTAAAACTAATCTGGTCTTCTGTGACATCATTTCACAGGGTCTACTCCAGTGAAGGTGCATGAAGATAACTGAGCTCAGAACATAGGAATGCTGTAAGCACTGCTTGTGAAGTGCAACGACTGGTGCCCAGACTGTGTCTAACACAGTATTTCTTGGAGGAGATGCTTCTCAAGTGACACATCGTGGTTTTGGATGAATTTTGTATGTGGACTGCTCTGTCTATCAGTGCCACCCCTCCACCAGTAGTGCTGTGTACCTGCATGCCTGTAGGGCTGAATTTACCTGAGCCCATGTGTAGGAGCTCCCTTTCATTACTCTGAAAATCTACTGCCAAACAATACCATCTTTGTCCTTCAGCGATCCAGTGTTTCAGTGAGTTTGCAGGTCCCTTGCAGGTGGTGAGATTCAGGACAACTGTACGGAGTTGCAGTCATATGTCACAAGAAGGGCAGTATTACACCTGTTGCTGCATTGCTCTCTGTTTCATCCGGCTCAGCACCGCTCGCTGTGAGCTCCATCCCTTGACCCAGGTTTGCCCTCCCAGTGGCAGGCAGCCCAGCTCCACACTGTGGGGCCTGGCTCGCTTTCCTGTTAGTTGCTGCAGGCTGATAACTGGCCTGGAGATTGATATGGATAGGGCTGATCCAGGCTTTCAGCAGCTATACAGCACCACAAAGCCACCCCCCCAAGCTGTCCTGCACCCTTCTCCACCTGGCCTGAACTTCAGAACACATGCTTGCTCTATACCACTGGATTATTCCATTGTTGCTGTTATCTCCCAAACTAGTAGCTATACATCTAGAGAAACAGATTTTTGATAGCTTCCTCAGCCCTTTCTACACTGCTTGAGCTCACATCATCTTTACTAAAAATTTACTGTGGTTAAAAAGATTCTCTATGCTTTATCTTAAAATAGAGATCCAATTATTGTTCAAATTTCTGCAGCTGTGAGAAATATAAGAAGTGATGTAACACAGGAATGAAGAACAAGGCTTTTGATTAGAGTTCCCCTTAAAAAATACATTTGTAAGTAGCTCTAAGACCCACTTGGGACAGAAGTGGTATTTAATGCAGACTCCCTCCCACATAGGGTGCTCATTCCATGGGCTCTGCTGCCATCTCATGGCTTCATCACCAGGTTCTGAACTCGGTCATTTGAAGTGGCTTGCTTTTTACGGGGGTAGTGCTACTTTAGTGGCATGTGTTCTTTGGTTTGGATTGGTTTTCCTGTTTGATTTTCTTTCTGGTTTGGTTTTATTTCTTACAGAAGTGTAGGACATTACTGAAGTAGTCTTTTGTCTGGCTTTTCTTTTTTCTCCTCCAATCATGGAATAAATTGATTATGATAGAGAAAGGAGTTATGGACTACTTCTGAGGCATCTAACCAACTGAGAAAAGCAGCTTTATACCAATAGTAAGCTTAAGGTTTTTGTGTTCTCTTTTTAAATTAGCTATAAAATGAACTGTTTAGTTGCTCTTGAAGATGAACTTAACCCCTGCTGATCACATGTAGCTCCCTAAAGTGTGTTCTAAATGAATTAGAATCACTTTGAAATCTGAGTTTTGTTTATTCTGTGAATCAGCATGTCTAGAAATTCCAGATGCAAAAATGTCAGACCAGGACAGAAGTCCATCTAGCTCACTGCCCTGCCCATGGCAGTAGCATATGCCCTATCTGGGGGCAGTGTGCAGACCCTGGTCGTTCACCTCATCCTTCCAAGCATCCATAATTACACCTCGGCATCAATTAGAGATTGGTAAGGATTATTCCCTGTTTATTCTTTTTTGTTTCTGTTTATGGACCTGTCACCCATCTCAATTAGTTCATTTTTGAACTTGCTGAGTTTTGCGTTTTCTACAGCTCATGGTAGGGAGCTCCACAAGGGAAAGGTACTGCTTTGGCTGTTACTGATTTCTTATTAATTTCACTGTATGTAACTTAGTTCTGTGTGCACCTTAGCTGCTGCCTTTATGATTTTTGTAAGCTCAATCCTATTCTTTCTCAGCCTCCACCCCTGCAGGCAGAAGAGCTCTGGCCATTTCAGCCTCCCTTAATATGGCAGATATTCCATCCCCTTGATCACTGCCCTTTTTACCACTTCTTATTCTGTTGCATTTTTTCTCAATGTGTAGACCCATACTTTGTATTCAAGTTGATGGCATGATCAGGTTTAATCTACCAACAAATTATTCTTTTTCTTAGTTCCTCCCATTCAGATTTCCTGACATATTTTGCCTCTTTTCAGCAGTCTGTATGGGAACTGCCTGAACCACTGATTGAACACCTGGGGAAAGGACCCGGTCAGCCCTGAGAATACAGGTGAAGGCAGTAGACCTGTGCGATCAGAAGGGGTGGAGCCTGGCTGCACCTCTCTTAGACCTCATTTGAGGACTGAGCCCCACTGAGGAAGGTTCTCTGCTTGGAGATCCCTCCCTTATGGAGTTTTCCCTGTGAGCCAAGATCTTGAGAGATGAGTGAGCACTTTCCTTTTTTCTTTGTAACACCCTTCCATTGTGCTGGTCCCTTTGTCATGTCACTTCTTGTATCACCATTCCACTGTATTGATCTTTCTGGTTGTTACGAGTCCATTTCATGACAGAAGTTATGCACAGAGATTTTTATTTTTATTTTTAATTTTCAAGGGTCAGGCTATTTTGTTATTCACCTGTTTGGAAAGTTTATGCTATTTTTTCTTTTTTGAACAGTTATGGTCCTAAAATGGTGATAGAAAATGACCTTTGGAAGTGAGCAGACATAGACAGGATGTCTTCAAGGGACTGGCAAGCCCTACAAAATAGACACCAAAACGTGTACTTTGGATGCTCTCCACTGTCAAATAAAATAACGGATGTGACCCGGAAACAACAACAACAAAGTTCAAAAATGCAGAAAGGTCTGCAAAACTTCGTATAACTAGCAGCCTGTGTCCTGTCACTAACAGGGAGGTAAGAGTTATAATTGAAATTCTGTCTGGAAGTAAATTCTTTTTGCTTTAATATCAGACAGTATTTTATTATTACCAGTGAATTATATCCAGGAGAAATACAGCAGTGTGGCCATGGCTGCACAGCCCTTGCCAATAAATAAGGCACTGCTCATCAGTGCTGGCAGCAGGTATGTGAGCTGTGTGCGATTGTGTCAACTTCCTTCAACACCTTGCAGTAAGAAAGGATGTCAGCTTCAGGTGGTAACTTGTGAGGACAGCTGCACCCAGCAGTGATTTCTTAAGAGCTGGCTGGGCTATTGTTAGTTAGTTGGTGTAGGCGGTGTTTTTTCTTGTCGAAGGAAGTGTGGATTATCTTACTAATTATCCCAGGTACTTCTGACATTCTCTTACAAGCTATAAAAACCATGGATTAAAATTACAGATAGTAACTCAGATTTCCCTGCAGTTCTTTTAGTATTGCCTTTTGTGTGTATCTCAGTGCAGATATGGGTGAGAGCCTGAATGAGTTCTCTGAGACTATACAGCTGAATAAAGATGAGATGAAAACACGGATAGAGTTCTTACAAATACATAAATACAGATAATAGCTGAAGCAGCTCATTTTTCATATCTGTGGATATCTGTAAGATAAGAACCATTCTTCCAAGTCACTGCGGTATCAGACATAGGTATTTCTGAACTTCAGCAGCACGTAATCTGAAGTAGCCCACTTAGCCAACATCAGTTCTTCAGTACCAGTGCCACATCACAAGTCCTCAGCCTCTGCCACTCCTGTTCTCACACTGTGTGCATCTGACTGACATGTGGAGCTCCCCAGCTGCCACACACTGTGTATGTTACCTCTCCTGCTTTCAGGATGACAGAATAAGATCACAACACGAAATAGTTATGATGATACAGTCTCAAAGATGTTAACAATTTCACAACACCCACGTGAAGAGGCGAGCATTAAGCTGGCTTCTATGTATGCTGTATACTTCTTAACAAATGCTGAGATTTGGAGCAATAAGCACTATTGTAGATGTAAAATCTTGATTACCAAAGAGCTGTTCAGGGAGTTGTGTGCTGACTGTTGAGTCACGGCCTGAAGCACTGATTGAGCACCTGGGGAAAGGAGCCGCTCAGCCCTGGAGTACAGGTGAAGGCAATTCAGCGGTGGGACAGGAAGGGGCGCAGCCTGGCTGCACCTCTCTTAGCATTTAAGGGCTGAGTGCCGCTGAGGAAGGATCTCTGGTTGGAGATCCCTCTTTGGTGAAGCTTTTCCTGCGAACCTGGAATCTGCTGATAAGGTGAGCAACCTTCTTCCTTTTCCTCACGGCGCCGTTCTGTCGTGCCGGTCCTTCTGCAGTCCCGCCTGTGCTGAAACACGTTTCCCGTCGTGCAGATCTGTGCAGTTGCTACAGAGCGACACTAATGGGTGCTGTAGTCCTTGTTCTTCGTAACCAGTAACTTCTGTTGCGTCCCCACAAGCCTCTTATAATACTTTATGTATTTTACGTTTACTTTGTTTCTCCGCGTTCCGTGTCTGCAAGGCTTATTTTCAAACACAGAACTTCTTCGGATGACAGCAGTGACTGCGGGGCAGCGCCCTGGAACGGCGTCCGACGGCGTTTCAGATGCGAAGCGGCAGCCGAAGGCCAGAGGGTGCGGGCGCAGCCCAGCGAGGCTCCCGGCCTTCCGCGACGGAGCGCCGGCGGGGACCGGAGCCCAGCCGGGAGCTCGGCGACCCGCGGGCCGGGGCTGAGGGCGCGGCCGGGCCGTCCCGCGGCGGGCAGCCCCCCGCCCCCTCTTTTCCGGGCAGCGCTTCGCGAACGGACGGCCCCGCTCGCGCCCGGACAATGGGCGAAGCCCGCCGCCGCGCTCGCCCCGCCCCCGCCCCGCCCGCCGCAGGAAGCGCGGCGCCGAGCGCCCTGCCCGCCGCCGCCATGCATTGTGGGGCGGCAGCAGCAGAGCCAAGATGGCGGCCAGCAGGAGGCTGATGAAGGTAACAGCGGCGCCGCGTCGGGAAGGGCCGCGGGATGGGCGGCCCCCGCCTCGCCGTCGCCCTCGGCGCTCCCGCGGGACCGGGCTTTTCGCCTCCCCCCGCCGCGGGCCGCTCGAGCGGCCCCTTCCCGGCCCCGGCCCGGGGCGGCCGGACGGGAGCGCTCGGCGCTCGGGCCTCGGCCGTGAGGGGCCGCGCCGCCTCCCCGGCCCCGCGCCGCGCCCGGCCGGCGCGCCTCGGCCGCCGCTCGCCGCCCGGGGCGGCCCGGGAGGGGCTCGGGGAGCGCCGCGAGGCCGTGCGGAGCGGGCCGGCCCCCTCCCTCGGGGGGCTCCCGCGGTGACTAAGCAAAGAGGAAGGGCCGAGGGGGAAGGAAACGGCGCGGCCGGGACGCCCCGCCGCAGGCCCGTCCCCGGGGCGGTGTGACGGCCGGGCCCTCCCGGAGGGCCGCGCTCGGCCGGGCGGAGGAAGCGCCCGGAGCCCTCGCCGTCCCTCGGCCGGGGGGTTCCTCTCGCCGCCCCCGCGCTGGGGGGGGCGGGGGTTCGGCGCCGCGGTTTGGTGGGGGGACCGCCGCGCCCGCGTGAGTCAGAGGCTTATCGAGGTGAAGCGTGGACCCGGGTTCAGAAGTTGCCTCGCTCGCTCCGGGCGCGGTGATGGTTTTGTCTTCACTGCGATGTGCAGACAGCCTTGAGTGTGAGTTTCTGCGAAGAGAGTGCATTCGCTTTAAAATACCGTTTGGATGAAAATTGGTGCATAACGATGCTGCTAACCTTCTCCTTCAATAGCAGAGTTAGAGGTGCCCTTAAAGCTGTGAGCCCCGGTAGTGTTGGGGGCTGTAGGTTGTTTGAGGCTATGTTTCCATGGCTGATCACATCCACGTGCATGTGAGCAGTCGCTTTTGAGGAAACCCGTAGCTCAGCATTGCTTTCGCAAGACTCTTTTTTGTGCCATGTAGGCATCAAAAATTAAATAGGTAAATATATTTTGTGCGGAGTCATTCAGGTATGTATTAGATCAGCAGGCGTAAGGCCTTGGTTCTCCTGAAGGCTTCTGAGGAGACGGCATTTGGTTTCTATTTCATTTCTGATAGCTGTTATTTTTTTGGTCATAGTTTGAGAGCCATCAGCATATCTGCTGCTTTGTATTTGAATTAGATTCTTTGTTTGGGATAGGTGTAGCTTCTTGCAAGGCAGCTTTAATGCCTGCTCTGTTGTTCAAAAGCACATCAATATTTTAGAGGAAAAATATCTAATTCAGCGTCAAAGTATTTAGTACAGAACATGAAAATGTGAGAGGCAAGGAAGTTCGTCCTTAAATTTACAGAGCCCTTGTGCTTTTCACCCTCTCAAACAGTTCCCTGTGCTCCTAAAGCATCAGATAGTGCCTTGGTCTTCCCCTGAAATACCATAGAAATGGTTTTGAGGATGTGACCTTTTCTAGAAAAACAGTGGCAGTTTCTTTTCAGAGGGAGTGGTGTAGGAAGGTAGGAGACATTGATAACTTCACTCTTACATTTTTACTTTCATTTTTATTGCCTTCTGTTTATGGACTGTGCACATCATGTGCTTTTTTTTTATGCAACTCCAACAGCTGCGAGATGCTTTATCACATAACTTGTGCAGGCTGTTCAACAAGCAGCTTCATTTGTTCTTTTTGTGGCATCAGATCAGCCCGTTGTGCTGTAAGTTTGCCATTCGTCTGGGTAGAAACGGACTGTAGCTCTTATAACTCACATATGCCAGCCTGATACTGTTGTTTAGGTTATAAAGTGAAAATTGACTGATCTCAAGTCTTTCACTATCAGAATTTTGCATTATGGAACAGCCTGTGGGATTCCTTTCTCAGAGCCCTAGGATGATGGGTGATTCTATGTGTCACTCAACATCCAAAACAAAAACAAAACAAAAAAACAACCAAACTAATAAGAAGGTAGGATAAGCATTAATTGGATTGGTCTCTTCCAACCCAATTAGTTCTCTTTTTTTTGGGGGGGGGCTAAACATCAACTTTGTCTTTGGTAGCTGAGAATGAGTCTTTTATAGGTCAGATAAAATAAAGACATTTCCATTTCCGTAAGGTCTTGCCAACATTTTGAAGTGCTGTAATCTTTCCTGAATACGTGTCACGCATCATAGTCACTCATGAGTCACGATGCCACAGAGACTGGGTGAAGTTGATTCATAATAACATGCAGCCTGCCCACAGACAATGGGAATGTTATTGTAGTTGCCACCTTTCAGGTGGAAGTGGGTTTCCTTTTTAGGTTGTGGACTCTTCAATTTGCAAACCTCCTTGTGAAAGAAGCACTGAAATTTTGCTATCATACAGTTCAGTTTTAACATTTAAGTCAGGTCATAACATGCATAAGATTGCCTTGTTATTGCATACTCGTGCAAGAGGCCTATCTTAGGCCAAGGCCGTGATTTATGGCCTCTCTTAGCAGGGCTTTATGTGATGGTCTGGTCTAACTGTTTTCTCTTCTGTTTGTTCAAGTCTTTCTGGGAGCACACCCAGGTTGGTAAAAATGTGAAATGTTCTTAGCTAATGAATTGTGCTCCAGCAGCATTTGAGGTGGAGTTTTGATCTCTGGCCCACCATTATACCTCTTCAAAGAGCCACAGCTGTCAGATCTCCACTCTTTGTGGAATACAAGAGGTGAGAATAAGGCAGGCTGCACTGAGAGTGTGTTGTTGTGGGTTATCCCTTGCAGGATGGGACTGAGAACTGGGCAAACACAGCATAGTTCAATTTAAGAAAGCAGCTCATTCTTTGCTTTTGGGGAGCTGCTTTGCTTCATGACTGTTTCTTGTGAGAAGCCACTTTTCCCCAAACACACACGGTGGGCAGTACATCTGCAAGAGACACGTGAGAGATTTCACTGAAGGGCTTGCAATTTCCACTCGCTGACGTGAAACAAGCTCTTTTCTGGAGTTAAATGATCTGTGGGGAGGCAGTGCGTAGCTGCAGAAGGGGAGGCTCTCTTGGTGCTGAGTAGTCACGGTACCCACTTAGTGTCAGCACTGTGTGGTGCAGGCACAGACAGCACTCACTCTCAGGTGGTACTGAGCTGTCCTGGGTCTGCAGCTACTTCCTCCAGTGCTCATCTGCAGTACGATCTAGCTGAGGTCTGTGTTTTTGCTTCCTGGCTTTTACGTGTTACAAGTATTTATAGCATTAAGAATTGAGAATAGATTTAAAGAGGAGGTAGCAATTCTTTAAATCTCTCTGTTTTCAATCTGCCTCCATGATTGCATAGTCAGACGTGTATGCCACCATTGAACTCAGTGATAAAACCCAGGGCTGCCCTGCTGCAGGTGGCCTGCGGAGTGCTCCAATCTCCTGAACAGCAAAGCCATCCTTAGGAAGGGTGTTGGAAACAACTCTGTGTGCATCCAAGCACTGCTTCTCAGTAATGAGGGATGGAAGGCCTCGTGCCATACGTGGTTGTCTGCATGTGAGTGAGAGCACTGATTCCTTCTTCGAAAACGAAAATTGAGAAAAAGGTTTGTAATCAAAACTTTAAGAGAATGCTTCTGAATAAAAACCAGATGTAAACATTTTGCCAAAAAGTAGAATTAGTCAATAAAAAAGCATGTGAGCATATGGATCTGCAGTGTCACAGCCGCTTGGTTTCAGAAACTCTGTAACAGCTCCTAAATGAGCTGGAATCTGGTTTGTTTTGTTTGTTTTGTTTCTTTGTTTTTAACATTTCTCAGCAGTATGCAAGATTCAGAAAGTCAAGTTGGAGCTCCTTATCTGTGCCTTGGAGCCTATTTAGCTTTGTTGCACATCTTGTAGGTAATGTATGAACAGATAAACAAATTGTAAATGTTATGTAAGCAAAGTGTGCAGTCATTTCAGTAGACCTTTGTTTTCCTTTATGAATTTAATAGCATCTGCAGCTTAATGCAGAACTTCCTGAAGTCAATGAACTTAACCATTTCAGTCTTCACTGCATTTTCCTATCCAGTTTGTTTCTTTTTAGCCAAGTCCCCAGACTTCAAAGATGTGTAAGCAAAACAGTTTCAGGATTGTGCTGGGCACCTGGTGGTTGGTGGCTTGGTTGTTTTTTTAACCTTCAATGAATTTTGAGGAGCTAGGAGTTCTAAAAATTATTATAATCTATGGATGTAGGTATGAATCTGGTATCTCAGCTTTCTTCTAAAAGGCAGGTACGTTTTACTCAATGATCTTTAGGGTCTCTTCCAACCCAAGGCATTCTGTGATTTTTAAGGTGATGTCACTTCATTTTCTATTTCAATCATTTGATTTTTTTCAGTAGCATACAATCATTTGTGCTGTTTCAGTTTTTTACTTCGAACTTTACGTATTGGTTATATATGAGAAAGGTAGCGTGTGCATCCAGGCCTGCTGCCAGCGCTCTTCCTGAAGGCTGGACGTTTCCCCTGGAACAGTGTTTTCTCCTTCCCGTGTGCAGGGCAGAACGTGTTGTCTGAACGAACCCAAACTGCGGTGGCGTGGCCCGAGGGAGAAACGAGCAAACACCACCTCTGTAATAAGTGGGGAGCAAAGCAGCCAGGTTGTGTGCAGTGCTGATAACAGTGGGAAGTTGAAGATGACTTAAACTCTTCTGCAGCATTCTAACCTTTGGTTGTGCTGCTTCTGTGTGCCTTTAATAATGTTGCTTGACAAAGGGGTGGAGGACAGAAGAGGAATTATTCTATTCACTGCCTGCCTAGACTATTAGGATTTATTTTAAAATAAATATACAGACTATATTCTTATACCCTATAAAGTAATTTTTGACCCTTTAAGCTTAGCTCTCATCACTGAAGCATTAACTTCTAATCTAATGCTGTTTGGTGATATTTAATAGTTCATTCACTTCTTCTAACTGTGCCTATGTTCTTGAGTTGTCTGCTGCTGTAATTCTGAGGCTATTTAGGTCTTTATTGTGAGTTCCCACCCCTTTTTAATCCTGAGTGCTTAATGTCCTATCACTCCTGATGATTAGACAAAAACACTAAGAATATGAATTAGAAATAAGAGTAATACATTGCAAATATGTTTCTAGGATAAGAAAAGTCCCTGCTAGGATAAATTGGCACCTGTCTTAAGCAAGTTATTCAGGTGAGTCGTATCTTCATGTGAGGAAAAGGACTGCCTGCTTTATCCTCCTGTTCCCTTTTTGGTTACTTGTTACTCCTGCAGGACCCAAGGCAGCAGGGAAGAAGGCACAGAGTCTGGGCCTGACACGCTGCAGTCATTTGCTGCTTCTCTCACTGTGAGAGTGAATTCCAGGATCGCTCCACGTGTCATTATGAAAGAAGACGGACGGAGTTTCTGCTGGCTCTTCCCTGTATTGTCTTCCAGGCTGTTTAATTCCCTCTGCCATATGATGCACTTGACAAAAAAAAAAAAAAAGGGAACAATTTGTTTATTTGGATTTTTTCCTTTTGTGCAATTCTTTTTACAACTTTATAATGATTTGTGCCCTGCTTGATTGCATTTCTTAAGTAATCATTTTTTAACCTGAATCTACTTATGAAATACAGATACTTTGTTTTCCATTAATGTAAAGCCATTCTATCTTTTTATTAGCTTAACAATAGTAATTTTCCAGTCAGTATACTTAAAACATTGAACTCGGGGGTTTTTTCTTTTCCTGTTTTAGAGGCAAGATATTTGTGTTGCATGTTTATTTATGCTTAACTACATGGCAGTAAACTTAGCCTGATTTGTTCCTGCTGACTGGTGCGTTGTATCTGGTGTGGAATGGGATTTATCCCTTGTGGAACAGTTGGTTTTTGGATTTGTGGCAGTTCTGTGTGTGGAGAGCTCCATCCTTACAACAGCTGCAGGAGGGGACTGAGCTGCTCCATGATTTCCAAGCAGGTGCTCTGTGCCTTCAGCACTCAGCACCTCCAATGCTCTGTGTGCATTGTGGTTTCTGTGCTGGTAGTTGGTGTTTAATTGAAATATCCTGCCCAGGTTTGCAAATGTGGTTGTCTCCAGTGGAGATCTGTGTGCTGGCAGCATGCACCTCACAGTGCTTTTTCCCAGTGTGTGTGGGCATACAGTCATGTACCTCATACTTGCAACCCCATGGAAAGTTTTACATTTCGTGTCAGGAGGCTTGAATTTGAGTTCAGTTACATTGTCTGTGCAGATAAAACTCTTGAAGGACTGTCATTATTGTGGGAAAAGGTGGAGTCTTGAGGTTTTGCTTTTTTTTTGGTCTTATGGCTTCCTGATGAAATAAATACTCAAGGAAACAGCTGCTGCAGTAGGGCTTATAGTCATTTTAATATAAAAATAGCATAAATATTGGCTTTGGTGATGCCTACATCACTAACCAAGAAAAGGTAATTTTACTGGTGGTTGACAGGTACAGAAAGATACCTTGTTTCTATTCCTTCTTGTTACAGCTAGAGAGAGTGGCATCATAATAAATGCTGTAAGCTGTGATGAATGAAACAAAGGTAGAGCTGTAACAGCTCAAGTTTATTGATCTAGATCAGATGAGCATTGCTTAGATATTCATTAGCGTTTGCATCATTTAAGTTGATCTTGCAGGAATTCATTACTTTCCAGCTGAGAAAATTGGTCTGTTCAGTGACTTCATAAGTTTCTAAAACTGTTATGAACTAATTCTTCCAAATCACTGGTTTTCATTTAGGTGAGTCCCATTTTATATATATATATATATATATATATATAATGATCTTATTAACAAAGTATTATTGTACATTTGTGACATCAAAACATAACCCTTTTTGAACAGCTTGTCTCAGAATTTTACTTCTCACAGGGACAATGCTTTGTTTTCTGTGGGTTGCTGCCACTGAAGCCTCAGGTCTCTTTAGTGTTAGAGGAGCTCACGCTGACCTCCAAGCGTTTTGCTGAAACAGAGCTGAGCATTGTGCCTCATGTCAGTATTAACTGTTGACTTACTCTGCTTGTTTTCCAGGAGCTTGAAGAAATCCGCAAATGTGGAATGAAAAACTTCCGTAATATCCAGGTTGATGAAGCTAATTTATTGACCTGGCAAGGGCTTATTGTTCCTGTGAGTATGGAATACTCCTTATTTTAATGAGCTTTAAAACATGATCATTTTTTTTACCATAAATCCCCAGTTTAGCATTGCTGTTAGTGACCATCAGATAGTTTTTGTACATTGACAAGATTTCTTCATTTTAGGGAAGCTGGCTTTCAGAGTTGTTGCTTTCTGGGCAGTGAAGGGTGGAGATATGGATTTGATTCTTGGCCCTCTTTAGACTTCTCATATAGTCTCAGGCAAATATTGTAATCTTTCTTTTCACTTCATGTGAATGTCTTGTGTGGTTTTATTAGTACCTGATAATGTTAGTAGGTGTTTGTTGTAAGTAGTGTGAAGAAAAATCTATACGTAATTGATAGGGGCTCTAGACAACTCCGAGGAATACCTGGCTGAATGCTTTGTAACTGTGGGTCCGATCCAGCAAATGGCTGCCTCTGGAAAGGCCGCAGACCCAGTGATGGCACTGGGTTGCTTGGGAAAGGTCCTGGAAAGGGGAAGCAGGTGAGTTCTGTAGTTTGTTATCTCAAGCTGAAAGTACAAAATTTACATCATCATAGGAGAATGCCTGAGTTATGAAATACGTTATTTACTCCTCAGTAAATTTCAGTGTATGTTGTTTTCTTGTGGTTTTGGTTAGTTTGGGGTGCTTAGTTTGTAAATCATTGTAGTCATTTCTAGGGAAAAAATTAAGTATTGGAAAAAGTCTGCAGGGAAACGGTTTGGATTTTTACAAGTGAGCTTTTTTAAAGAAAGTCCTTAGGCATTAATTGTTTCCAAAAACACACAAGCACTGTATTAGTCAAATAGAAAGGGACTTGTTATGAAGTGGATAGCAGGAATTTAGTATGTTAAATTCCTTGGTTGCGTGGATTTTCACCTTCCTTTATTTTTGCACTGCTACGGCTCACGTTCATTTACTACATCAGCTACTTTTAAGTCTGGGCCTTTGCTTCTTCTTTTCCTTGGGTGCTACCTAAAAGGTCTCCTGACCAATGTAAATTATTTTAAAAGAAACAAGCATTATTTTGGCACTGCCTTTGCTTTCACAGCTGAAGGCCATTCACAAACTTGGGTCGTGTCATCTCTGCTAAGATCTTTGTGAGGCCTTTGATCTTGAAGTGCTGTAGAATAGATTTAATCACATTCTGTGAGCAATTTCCTCAAGTGATTGAGTCTACTATTCCTAATAAAGTAAGCAAGATTTGGTGCTAAAATTTGACATAACTGAGAAACAGTGCTTTGCAAGCCATTCCAATACGCGTGGTTCACATGTGCCAGGTTAGCATTTTGGCAGTACTTTGAAGTGGTGTATGGGTGGTAAACATGGCTAATAAAGCAAAGCACCAGAATGTTTGCTGCTGCTAAAGTTAGAAATATGTGGGGTACAACATCTATTTATTGCAAGGGAAATAAATACACCAGTAAGGATTTAAGGTCAAGAGGGAATTTTGTTATGAAATCTATGCTTATTAGAGCAATTAATATTTGTCATAGCTGTTTTGAAAAGTAGTATAGATTACTGTTTTGAGGAAATACTATAAATGATGCTTCTTCTGAAGCATCACTTGTTTTTTTTAGCTGGGATAGAAGGCTTGAAAATATCAAATATAACTGGATACAAGTGAGGTGTGCTGGTTTTGGTTGTAGTGGTGGTTTCTAGGTTTTTTCCGAAGTTTTTCTTTTGAAGTTTTACATGCTGTTCCCAGTTTTGTTCTTGTTGAGGGTTTGAGATACAAGTACTGTGTCATTTGTAGACTAATCAGTTAGCTGATTATTGAACTCTGTAACTAGGCAGTATTATGGCTTGCTTCTTAATTAAAGTATTAAAGATAGGAAGGTTAGTATTTTGACAGTGTTTGTGCAGAAGTAGTGCTATATGAACCTTTATGCATCATATTTTGTTTTTAGCGTTTGTTCAATTGAGAAGCCTGTTGAAGGTAGTTTCTCAACATATTTTCCTGTTCTAAATTGCAGAATAGGGTGTAGCTGAAGTTCTGTATGTTGAAAAAGCACTGTTTTGATTTTTTTTGAATGCCAGTATGAGGCTCCTGGCTGTTGTAAAAGGTGCTGCTGGTTTACACTGAATTTTATTTCACTTTGTCCATAGCAAACACTTCTGATAAACTTGTGCAGAGCAAAAATACGTCAGGTGAATGCAAGTCAAGTGTTAGCTATCTATATTTCAGCATTTATAATTCAGACTGTCTAACTTGTCAGTATAAGAATAAATGTAACAAGTTACTGGAAATGAATTTCTTGAATATTCTGTGTTCTGTCTCTTGAAAAGATGAGCAGCTGCTTTACATGCATTTTTAGCTAAAATTTATTGGTGAGTTATGGTGAAAAACTGTTCTGGCTGAGAGTCAAGCAGAAAATGAGTATTCTTAAGCCAGGTCTGATCCTGTAGCATTTCATTGAACATTCTAGCAGGTGATGGAGATAAGAACAAAGTGAACAATGTGAGAAGCGGGCATTAATGTAAATTGCTACTACAGACAGAAAGTTATTTGTTAAACTTGAAAAGCTTTTAGCTCAGCTAAAAAGTGGTCTTAAGCTACTTGAGTTATTTCTTTCTTTGACTCAAAAAAATCATGTGTCGCTTCTTAGAAGCACACAACCAGACTTCCCTGTATGGATAAAAACAAAATGTAATGTTATGTGTTGAATAGCATCTTAATAGAGCGTTTCCCAATCCTAAGTATCTGTAAAAGTTTTTTAACCTCTGGAGTGGAATTGAATGAAGGAAATGGCCTGGTAGGTAATGCAGAATAATTATATCTAACTCAAACTGGAAACACTAATTCTTCAATTATTGTGTCCTGGTTATTATCGCTTACAGAATGTCATTTTAATCATCTTTAAACATAGCAGTAGCTTTTTTCTTGCCTTTCTTCTGCAGTTAGCATTTGAAATGGTAGCAGTGGTCAAAAGATCTTTGCCTACTTCACAGTTCTCTCATTGTACTCCATCAAAAATGATCTGATAGCAGTGGGTGCTAAAACTGCATACGAATTCAGAATGTTCTCATCAGCAGATGCAGTGGATATCTATCTTTAGTACAAATTAATGCTCAGCAGATTTTTATGCAGTCAGCACAAAAGGGTTCTCAGAATGCTTATGGGAATGTGACAAATCAAACTGCTTTGCTGTTTGAACCACCATGTTGTATGAGATACAAAATAAGCAGGTTTAGAGAAACCAATATCCTTGTGAGGTTTCCTGTTTGTGTATCAGAAAGGGTTTACAGTGTATTTCAAAATATTAATAAATGTGGGAATAAAAATACTTGTTAGATCTCTGAGCATGGACTAAATGGGATTGGTTGCTTTCCTACTAGCAGGAATGTCAGCCAGCTTCAGAACAGCGGTAGCCTGCCTTTTTCATGGTGAAATACAAGGGTGATGGAGGTTATATTGCCTCTTTGTTTCTGCATTAGTTTTGATGTTCATAGATTTAGGAATGTGTTTGGAAAAAGTGCCTTTAAAAGAGGTCATTTAGTAGACGGAAGTCTGAACATGCTTTTACTTAAAGTTCATGTGTTATAGAATGCTAGATTCTTTATGTTCTGTCATCTCGTTGCAGGACAATCCTCCATATGACAAAGGAGCCTTCAGAATCGAAATCAACTTTCCAGCAGAATATCCATTCAAACCTCCGAAGATTACATTTAAAACAAAGATCTATCACCCTAACATCGATGAAAAGGGGCAGGTTTGTCTGCCAGTAATTAGTGCTGAAAACTGGAAGCCAGCAACCAAAACTGACCAAGGTAGGACTCCTTGTGGAGGAAAAAAAGGGTATTAAGAGATTAGGCATTGTGTGTTTGAAGCAAACAGTATTTTAGCTTGTCAACCGGTTTATCCATTTTCCTAAGGTTTGCCTCATGAATACATGTTGTGAGTAAAGCATGCAGCTCTTTCGGAATGTTGTTTTGTTATTAGAATACAAAGTAATGACACTGACTTGTGGCATTTCCACCTCCAGGAAACCACAAGACTCTTAATGGCTGAAGAGTTCATTAAGGTTGTGTCCTTGGTATATTTAAATTCAAAATGGGAAGAAGAAAAAAAGCATTTATGTTGGTGTTACTCTATGTTTCTTTTTAAACAGTAACTATATACATGTTTGGCTTGTTTGCTTAAAGAAAAAGCAAAATCATGACACAGATTAACTCTTAGCTATTAAAAGATCACTGCTGTGAGGCTTACTGCGTGGAGTGTCTTTGGATAAAAATTTAAATATTTTAAGGAAATCTCATTAGGTTCACTACCAGACTTGAGAGCATGACGAGTCTTGCCTCTTGTTGCTTCTATTAGTTAGGGTGAAATTTTCACATTTTCTGGCAGGTAATGATAAACTTGATGTTAAATGCTTATTACTGTACATAAAGAGGCTTTACTGAGTGAAAAGGCATGTTACATGCTGTATTAGTTTGTTACAGTTTAAAGGTTGTAGTAAGAAATGTTCCTACTTGGCCCCCCTTCATTTCAGGTAAAGGTAGAAAAGAGTGAGAAGACTGCGCTTTGAAAGAAGCTCCCGTGATATCCTAGCATCTTCCAGGGTGATAAGCATTGTAAGCACTTACACTGCAAAACTAGGGAGAATCTAGTTAAACTGTGAGGTGGCAGACTGAAAACAAACCCTGACTTCTCATGCTCTGTTGTGGCTGTCAGCATTTTGTGTGAGTTCAGGAGGCCGCTGGCTGTAGGAATGGCACAAAGTTAACAGTTTTGGTATTCTTGTTTCGAAAAACCGTAGGGTGCTGCTTTGTATTACTCTACTTTGAGTAGAAAACTATTAACATTGGTGTTCAGGGAAATGCATTTTTGGTGTTTTCACTGTCTGTAGACTTGCTGAGTTGTGTATATACTTCATTGGGTGGATTTGACGATTGTAACCAAGCTGCCATTAGTGGTCATAAGAATGTATACAAGGAAAAAGCAGCAGTAAGTTTCATGGTAGCATACAAGACTCACTGTGTAAATGCAAAGTACACTTGTGAGAATTATTTCTGTTGAAAGTGGTGTGAGAATGCTGATTAAATGGCTGTTGTTACAGAAAGATCAATGCGTTGGAAAGGAGATACAGGAACATAACAGCAAAGGGACCAGCACAGATAGGATGGTATTTCAAAGGAAAAGATGCTCACCCATCTCTGAAGATCTCAGTTCACAGGAAAGACTCCACAAAGGAGGGATCTCCAACCAGAGATCCTTCCCCAGTGGCACTCAGCCCTTAAATGCTGTCTTAAGAGAGGTACAGCCAGGCTGTGCCCCTTCCTGTCCCAGCGTTGAATTGCCTTCACCTGTGTTCCCAGGGCTGAGCGGGTCCTTTCCCCAGGTGCTCAATCAGTGCTTCAGGCTGTGACTCAGCAGTTCCCATACAGCTGTAAACAGTGGTATGAAAAGCACCTTACAGTTCTTACTGTATTGTCTAGTATGTCTGTACTAGAAAACACATTTGGTAGTTCAAAATAACGTCAAGAGTTGTTCCCTATTTATAGGGGAAGTAAGTCACAGAAAAATAAAGCTGAAAAAAATGGTTTCCAAAAGTAGATCCAATTACAACTGAATTGCTTGATTTATTGTGAGAAGTATTCGGGGAAAATGTTCTGTGATAGAAATTCTGGGGCCCTCTTCACTTGATGCATTATAGGTGAAGCTGTCTGTAAAACTCCTTGCTTACCCATAAGGAGGGCAGGATGCTCAGTGCTTGGGAAGATACTGTCTTGTGCATTTTGGTCTTTACTCACAGGTAGTTGGTTTTATTTACAGATGTGATTTCCTAATGTATTTGCTGTCATTGAACTACGCTCTTGAAAAGAAACAAGATTTATTGAGATATATCTAAACACAGTTTAAGTTATTTTCTTATTGGGGAATTTTTCTTATATTTTGATATATATATTTTTTCCTTTAAATTAACAGTCTTAGTCTCTGACAGTGTTCTTACTTCTTTTGACAGTAATCCAGTCCCTCATAGCACTGGTGAATGATCCACAGCCTGAGCATCCCCTGCGGGCTGACCTAGCTGAAGAATACTCTAAGGACCGTAAAAAATTCTGTAAGAATGCTGAAGAGTTTACAAAGAAATATGGTGAAAAGCGACCAGTGGACTAAAATCTGACACAGCTGATGTCAGCAACGTATGATAGAAGATCGGAGCAGTGCATTTGAGACATCCCGTAAAGCAGGACTCTATGGAAAATTGACAAGTGCCACCTTTTGGTGTTAACTTGTGGCTGTTACTAACTTTCTACAGTTTTCTTAATCAAAAGTGGGCTAGGTAACCTGTAAAGGAATTAAAAATTTAAGATGTTCTAGTTCTGCTTTCTTTGTTTAAAAATCACTGCTTCAATATACTTTAAAGTATGCTGTTTTCTTTTTTTTTTTTTTTGTCAGAATTTATCAGAAATATCTTAGACTTATATTCTGCCCTTAAATTGAAAAGGTTGTGGCTGTCATTTCTTACTTCTCCTTGCAGTTACCACTATCCTGAGTTCATTTAATTCAGCATTGAATTTTTGCCCCTCCTCAAACTGATGTCTTAGAAAAAATATCCCACTTCTGGCAGAAAATGATTGAGTGTTTGGCAGTTTTGTTTACTCTTCTCTTTAAACATTGCACTGTGCTCTGTGGGACTTGCTGCAAGTTCCCCTTAACTTCAGTTTGTAACGTAATAAAAAACAACCCAACTACAATCAGAAATGTCCAGGTCTTATGTAAATCTAGCTGATGTTACCACAAAATGTTTATTAAATGGGGAAATCCAATTTCTTGTCTGCGTTATTGAATTAGAATATGGCTTATGTCCTGCTTTTCGAAAATGCTGGAAAAAAAAAGTAGTAAAATGTGATTCCAGACTCCTTTCACTTTTATTCTTAATAAAAGTTAGCGTAAGTTAGCTTGGATAACGTGCACAGAACAACTGTGCGACCAGTTTAGAAGTTTCAGAAATTGAGGACCAAGAGATACACCGAAATAATAAACTGGTATTGAGTGAATAAGTTGGTATTTTAGAAATGAATTAATTTCAAATACTAAATGTTAGCACTGCTAGTGAGATTTTTTTCATCCAAATACATATGAAACATGTTCTAGGGAATGGCACTCACGCCACTTCCTTCCCAGTTGCTGTACAGTTATTCCTGAAAATAGTACGAGAGTAGGATTAAGCAATAAACTGAATACACTTCACTGCTACTGTTCCTATGTTTTAAAAATACATGTTGGATTATTTAATGACTACTTCAAGTTATCATTCTGACTTGGGCAGAGCTGTTTTCCCTTTGCTCTAGGCACACCCACGCATGCTGAAGGATGCCCTTTCTATTCAGAATTGGGCACCCTTTACTGTGTCTATTGCTTTTTTTCTGCCTGCGTGTCCTAAGTCTGAAGTGTGATTGTAGCTCCAATCAAACTGCCATACAATCAAACTGCCTTCCCCGTTTGTAGAACCTGAGTATGTTACTGAGTAAACAGATTTCCAGAAATCCATAGGTAGCTGGGAGTACATATCACTTTGATTTGCAAGAACTTGAATTAGGAAATCCCTCACATCTGGATGGTTTGTCTACACTCCTAGAATCAGTTTTAATACAGCCTCTACCTTTGCAACCTTGCAGAAGTAGTGCACCAAGCTGTAGCTCTCTTGGTTTTTAATGTATATTGCTATACCTTCCTTTGCCCTTCTCATCTGGCTTTTATTTTGGATTTAGTGTGAACAATGACAGCCCAGTACCTCACCTCTGTTGAAAGTATTTTTTTTTTTATTAGTTAGGGAGCTAAGAAATTTCATGTTAAGTGTTCTTAGACGGATTCTTTGGCAGGTAAATGAAGTTAAACCACATTCACCTTATTTACGGAAACTTACCTTCCCTGAGTGTTTCCTGGCTTGTGAGAGCACTATTACCAAATTTTTCACATCTTTGTGTCTTCGGTTGCAGAAAGTTGGTACTGATTTTGTTTCCTTCACGCTCAATCAGATTCATAATAAAATAATGCCAAATTATCTGTTGAACTGAAGTGTGTAACTTCCGCATCAGCCGAGTCACTGTACTTTTTGATCATGTCTGTTCACAATTGAAACGTTCTTAAAATTTGCATTATTTTTATTTAAAACAACTGTAGCACTAGTTTGCTGCCATCATTACTACTAAACAATATACTTTCTGGTTGTAAGCCTCTCAGGTTAAAGACTGCATTTATTTCAGTGTGGCTTGGATGCCATTGTAAGGAAACTGGAAGAGCTGTGTAACTGAAGGAGCTTCAGCTGATTTGTAGAGGTCTATAGCAGTGCTGTATGCTAGCCTGTTCTCATTTCATTTGTAAAGATCACATAGAAGATGAGCATTACCATCAGTTTTCTTTGTGTGTTTTTCAGAGCTCAGTTTTGTAATCATAAGTGTGTAACATAAGTGATGGCTTTTGTTTGCAGGTGGCCCTCTAAAAGGAAGATAAAGATCAAATACTGTACTGTGTGGTTGAAGTCTGAGGTGAAAAAAAAATCAAATTCTTTGTTAACTCAGGAAATCAAGCTCTTGTGCTCTCTGGTTCCCTAAGCCATGCTGAATTCTGAACATGCAGTTGAAAATCCAAAATAAAAACATACTGGTGCAACTACACCCACAAACACTGGTATAGGCTTTCTGCAATTCCATTCTGCTGCCCTAATAAAAATTGCTCTCAAAGGTATTGTGGCATGGTTTTATTTTCAAAGAGATTTCATGTTTGTACCTCGGCTATCTTTGTACAGCGTTGTTTATCACAGCAGTCTGCGTGCACTTTTAATTTCAACTCCATGGTGAATGTGAAGCTCTCACAGAGCCCCTGAGAAACCTCCTCTGTGCGTTCCGTGCAAGGGAAAGGTTCCTTATTTAGCAGTCTTTCAGTAGCTCTGTATTCATTTCCCCATTTAGAACTCATTTCAGTTTAAAAATTGGGTTTCAGTTCTGTTCATCTGAAAATGAGGTGTTCATAAAATACCTTTCTTAACAATGTCTGCTCAGGTAAGACTGTTGTTGTGTTCATTTCCATGTTCAGCTAGAAGAAAATCACACAAGCTGAGCTATGTTACATCCTAACAGATGTTGTGAACAGAGCAAAGTCACCAATTATTGTGCAGTTCAAAAGTTTAAATTAAGGTTTTAAAATATCCATCATACCTCGGTCACACTGCAGCCTTTTCAGGCTGAGCTGTAGTACTGGCGCATCGGCTTTGCTGCACGTGCAAGGGCACTAGATGGCACTCGTGTGTCCGACCGCGCTCTGGCACTTCAGTTACCTTCCGCAGCTCTGAGGTCTGCCGTCTTCCGCGTTTTGCTTCCACACCGCGTAAACTCCGCTCTCAGACAGCGGTGAGGCGAACTGCAGCACTGAAGGCGCTGCTCACGCTGCTTCTGCGAGGACTCCGCTGTTCTGCACAGCACGGGCACCGAGCGGAAAGATAAAGAAATTGTCCCATGTCAAATCAGCTCTGTTACGATAATTAGGAAAGAGCCTGAGAAAATATTTTACCAAGGTCCTCGATGATTTTCTGTGTTTGTACAGAGCAAACATTGCCTCAGGCACACAGGAGTGGTGGATCACGCAGCTCTTGTGACCAGCACACCAAGATGCCCTGCCAGCACTGCATGGCCTTGCGTTTGGAGCAGACACCTGAGTGCTTTCTGCTCACACTGCATTACAACGGAAAAGGACCACTATTTTTTTGCTTAGAAAAGGTGGTGATATTAATTTTTTTTAGTATTTAAAATATGCTTTAAAATGATGTTAGATAGATAGCTTTTGCACAGGAAATGAACATCAACAGTCTGAAAAAGAAAGTCCCACACGAAAAGTCTACATCTTAAAATGCAGTTAAACACACCAATATGTACGGGGCTTGTTGAAGTTCAGATGCTTTCATGATTGGAATTAAAATGAACAAACAGGACAAGGACTTTCTGGCCGAAGGTTCATATGGAACATGACTGCGCTCACAGGACAATGTTCTGAAGTACCCAGATATGCACCCCCAAGTACTTGCCTGTCACTGCTCACAAACTGCTTCAACTTTCACAAAAGGCTTCATGCAACTTCCAGGCCATTGACAGCTCCTGTCAGCTGTGCTGGGAGGTATTACAAAGGCTGGCAATGGTGGTCTGGCTTATGGGGACATTAGCAATTGTGTATCCTTGAAGTACAAACATAGGTATGTATATATGTATATCTAAAGATCTTTGAATGAACAAAGCTGAATGTTCCTTGTTTTGTAATGGCTCTGCAGCTCTGGCTTGATTAATGTCTGGAGTTCATGCAGGCGCTCCCAGGACTGTGAGAAATCATCTGGTCCTTCCCCACAGCCACCGATGGCAGGGACACTTGGGTACCCTGGGTGCACCATCAGTTCAATTGTTACCGTCCTGTGCTGTGGCACTGGGTGTGCAGGCACCTTGGATGTGAAGTCCACGATGGCGGTGTCTATGGCATTCTGGATGGCACTCACAGACATGTTCTTGCCCATGGTACTCAATCCTATGTAAATATCTGGCCACCTGTAGCCAGAGGTGGGAACACAGATATTAATGTTAATGAGGTAGTTAGACAAAAGTGTGTTATGTCCAGTGGATGAGGAATCAAAAGTAAAAACATAACTACAAGCCAACAATGCTCTCTCATTCCTTGAAAAAAATCAAGATACTGTTTAGAACATCTGCTCTTCAGTCTGGCAAAAAGTCCCAGCAGAGCCCAGATACCAACATTTATGTTATTACTCTGATAATGTATGCTGTCACAGCACTGGAATTGTCTGGCATCTGAGAGCTTAAAGGAGCACATTATTAGCAGTGAAGGGACAAACAGAGCTGTAACTGAGAAATGCTGCTATCAACTAACTTAGTAGGCCAAATAAAGGCCTACGTAAAAGTTACACATTTGTTTAGTAGCAGTCGATTCTCCTCACTCTCAGCAGCAGCAGAAGACTGGAGTGCGGCCCACTGCAGCATTTCCATGCAAGAAACAGCCACAGACTTCCACTTGTCGGGGTGTGCCCACAACAGGTATAAAGGCACAGCTCCCTTAACAGCCATATGAGTTCCACCCTGAGGGCAGCAAGAGGGTCCTGGGGCAGTAGTTTCTCTGCGGTACCAAAGCATGGTCCCTGGGGTGACATGGGGATCCTTGGAGCACGCAAGATTTCCATCGAACTCCCCTGTATTGCCCCTTGCACAAAGCTGCCCTGAAAAGTTTGCTCATTTCTCCCAGTTTCTCACCCTGCGTTGTTGTGCCCTTTGCTTTCTCAGAAATAGGCTGTCCTAGTACAGTCTGAATGCTCTGCACAGAAAGAGCACAGTGAAATGCTGGCCTTCTGCTAGTTGAGAGCAAGCGATACTGCCATCCAGCTTATATCAATACACAACTTCATGTAAAAGCCAAGAAGGCAATACTTTTCAGTCGACTGAGAAAGCAAGGAAAAGTAACATCATCCAAGGGCAGGTGAGTGCACGAATCTCAGCTGAAGAGTCTTTCATCTGTAAAACTAAGACTCACAGGACACTGACGAGACTGTTTGCTTTAAAGCAGTGATCACTTGCTCTGGCACTGTATGCCCTATGATCTTCTGGCTTCCCCATAACAAATAGTGATTCTTAATTAGCTTATTTCCTGCTACTTAAAACCCTTTCTTCACAATTCAAGGATGTAAGAAGTTATCATTTGAAAACATTCCCTAAATCTTACAACTAAAGTTCCAGTGCTTGAAGCACATCTAATGCTTCTAATCAAGTGGCATTACTCTGGCATCTGAAATGGTAAGAGACTGAAAGGCTGAGAAACACCCTGAAAAGAACAATCCATTTCACATGAAAAGTGAGTCATCTCTTTTCAAAGAAATCTGCCAGTAACCCATAGCGTCTCCAGAGCTTCTGTATTCGCAGAATTCCCTTGTAAGCCCCAAATCAGAAAGAGAAAGAGGTCTTATTCCATTCTGAAAATATCTTATCAGGAACTGATAACATCTTAAAGTTTTACTCCAAAAACAATGAGTAATGTCTGTCTTACCTTATTCCATGCTTTGTAAACACATCCACTGTGTTCAGAGAATCTTCTTCTACTCCCACATAGAAGTCCATCAGGGATGGCTCAATCCAGTCACAGTTATGAAGGCCTGGCTCTATTGGGACACGAGTGTATTCAATCCCATATTCCTCTAACACCTCTGCAAATACATGCCTGACCTCTGTAAATAAAAAGAAACTTTAGTCAGGAATTAGATAACCAACTCACATCCCCTGAAAGCTGTTAGCACAGACATCTTTTTCCTTCAGTGTTTTAAATATAGAACCTCATTTGGCTTTTCTGCTGAAATGGTTTTGTTCATCTGGATCAAAGCCCCCTTTTGAAGTGGAAATACCTGAAAGCATTACTCATTCAACATCTGCTACATGTGCCTTGTCTCCCCTTCAGCACTGAGTGCTTAGTCCAGTAACCTCTTCTGAGGTTGGGAGCTTTGTCCTGGAGTGCACCCAAGGTGGCTGTACTGTTGGGAACACATTCTTCACCAAGTCCCTGCCATATTTCTCAGTCAGCTGACTGTTAACACAGGGAAATACTGATTTATTTTTATTTTTTGCCAAGTTTTCTATCTCTGTACAAACAATGATCTTTGTTGGAAAACTGAGCCGCTGGTACTTGCCTATAATACATACGAAAAACAAGCTGAAACCCACAGATAAAGATTGGAATAGAAATACAACCAACAGAACAGCTTTTGTAGCACCTGATCTTCAATCTCAGAGGCTAACTTGCCCAAGGTGGGAACATAACTGCAATTGTAGAGCCTTACACAAATCCTATAAGGTTTATTGCCCAGGGAGCCATAGCAAGAGTGGGGCTTCTCATCTGCTTAGTGCTGGAAAGAAAAGAAGTGTTTGCTTACTTGGGAGAACGTGAATGTGCTGGTGTCCATCCATGTGAGGAGGTAGGTGGCCTGTTAGCTCATGGAACAGATCCACCTGGGCCTTTAGCTCCTGCTTCACCTACACAGCAGAAAAGGATTAAAGAAAAGGCTGAGAGCAGGAGGGTGCAAGGTGGGTGTTGGAGACCTTGCTTGCTAGTACTTGAGATTTGGCACTAAAAGGCACAAAGTGCTGGCTGGCTAATGGTGCTAGACTGCCTGGCATCCTTCCTCAGTACAGGTCTCCTTTCAGCTCTGGCTGAGGGGATGATGCTGCTGCTGCGATTTTTTTTTTTTTTTTTTTTTTAAGCTATGATATTTGAATACCCATTTCCCTTTAATTTGAAAGGCAGTTTTGATCACTAGAACACACTCATCCTTACTTAACAGTGCAAAACCAAATATCTGCCTAGAGAATGAAAGCCTCTCAAGATGACGAAGAGTCTACTGAGAAGTTCTCTGGCATTTTCCCTTTATTGATCTCTAGGTTCTTCACAGGTATCTGTTTCAATATCTCTTCTGCCTCCTCAGATAAGTAGTTAACAAGCACATTAGTGTATGTTTTAATGAAGCAGGGAGAAGTGAGTTCTCAAAGACTGCATAGACTTCAGCAGCATTACGTGTAGGACACAGAAAGCCAATTTCAGATGCCAAGGCACCACAGCCTAGATTCACCTGTAAGCATGCTCACAGATGTGACCTACAAAAAGATGTTCAGCTATTATGTGCTGGAATAAGTGTAGGCTGAGCTATATCAGGAAAGCAAGTTGCATGCATGTAACACTACAGTATGACGGAAAGCAAAGCAATAATAGCGGGGGGCAAAGTCCTACGCTGTAGTGTACTGCATACACCTGAACTCCCTTGGGTTGCCCCTGCCCTCCCACCAGGTGCTCCATCACTGCTACAGGCCATGACTTAGTGTTTCTGCTACGTATGTGGCTTTCTCCTACCTCTGACATATTTATGAGGTCTTTTGATAGAGCTGTTCTGAATCCCATTTTCCCATGAAAAAATCCAGCTTCACTGAGCAGAGAAGAGCTTCTCTTGAGCACCTCACATACAGGGGAGCCCTCAGAGAGGTTGGCGTGCAGTCCTATGGGGATGTTGTATCTGTAATAGGAATAAAATACCTCTTAAACTTTACACCTCTACCTCCCTCACTGCATCAAAAGCATGAGGCTTCTGTGGAAGATCCGGACCACTCTAGATTATTGTGGTCACTAGTACACATCTTTGGATCTTTCTATTTTAGAAAGGAAATCAGAACAACACTCTCTAGCCCAGAGCAGAATATCTCCAGATAACAAACCTGTCCAGCCTATGATATGCCCCAACAGTGTTCTCATCCTGGCTCACATGGAGAGAGCAGCCATGATACATCTCAGAATAAATTTTATATCTGTATTAAAAACTATAACTAACTGTATGGTATTAGTATCCGTCCTGAAGTCACTACCAACTGACAGAAAAATCTGAACACTACAACCATAACGCTATAATAAGATGGAAAGCACAGCAATAATAGCAGGGCAGCAAAGTCTTTAGCTGCAGCAAATGAGAACAAGCCCACGTGCCGCAGCCATGGATGCAGAAATAAAGGAAAAAAGCTGCTTACATTTGGAAGGCCGCAGGTAGGCAGGGATCTCCAGCAAGATACCCTCACCTCCACTGCCAACCTTACATGATGCCTGGGAAGGGGTGTATCCTGGCTCCAACCCTTCCAGTCACTCAGGTGCACTGCATGCACCTGAGCTCCCCTAGGTTGACCCTGCCTTCCCACCTGGTGCTCAGTCACTGCTTCAGGCCATGACTCAGCACTTCTGCTACAGCAACTCTTTCAGAAAACAATTAATAAACTCTACAGCTTATACTACTGAAAATGCTGCCTTTATAAAAGTTTAGTCTTACTTGACAACTTCATCCAAAGTTGCATGTAAGTGGAATCCAGCTGAACCTAAGTAGTGCCTAAGGCAGCTATTATAGCAACAGGAAAGGCTACAAGCTAAGTATTTTCTGAGTTTAAGGGTAACCTGGTGTGTATGGCAACTGTTGAGTCACAGCCTGAAGCACTGATTGAGCACCTGGGGAAAGGAGCCGCTCAGCCCTGGGAGCACAGGTGAAGGCAATTCAACGCTGGGACAGGAAGGGGCGCAGCCTGGCTGCACCTCTCTTAGCATTTAAGGGCTGAGTGCCACTGGGGAAGGGTCTGTGGTTGGAGATCCTTCCATTGTTAAGTCTTCGTGTGAGTCTAGGTCTTCAGAGACAGGTGAGCACCTTTTCTTTGTAACACTGCTCTATCTGTGCTGGTCCTTTTGCTGTTACACTCTATTGCCTTTCTGCCCTATCAATCTTTCCAACTGTAACACTGGTGCAAGTGGCTGCAGCTGAAGTGGCCTGTGGTGGTCAGGTCTCTGTCTAATCCTGCAGATGATCAAGCTGGGCTGTACAAAGTATCACAGAATTGCCAGGGTTGGAAGGGACCTCAAGGATCATGAATCTCCAACCCCCCTGCCACATGCAGGGCCATCAACCTTCCCACCTAATGCTAGACCAGGCTGCCAAGGGCCCCATCCAATCTGGCCTTGAACACCTCCAGGGACAGGGCATCCACAACCTCTAGCACTACTCTAGCACAGAAGAACTAGCACAGGGACATCAGTGGTTTAAGTGTGTAGAGTCTGGCTAACAACTCACAAGGGTCCAACCTGTTACTGAGTTGCATTCTGTAATGCTTAAGTGAAAAAAAACACAGAGTTCATTTATCTACAGAGCTCCTGTAAGCCACAAGGCTTTGCAGAGTGGTGGTTTCTCCTCCAACAACAGCAGGCATTACAAGTGCTCAGGTTTGTGCTGAGTGTCATTACCACGTCTGAAATTCTCTGAGGCTGGACTAAATGATGTTTTCAAATTTCTTCAGTAAGCTGCTGCTCTGAAGCTGGTTAGTGAAGTGCAAAGTTGCTGGGGACTAAAGGACTATGGATGGGTTGGACCAGGACAGGGTAAGTTAGTTCCTTCAGGTTCTAAGACCTTGCAGGATTGGAATTCTTTTCTCCTAGTTCCTCCACATCTTGTGCTCCAGAACTATGGTTTAGGCACGTGCTCTTTCTTAGTGTATGGGCAGCTCTGAGAACAGCTGTAGCAGAACATCCCTTTCCTCCCATGAACTACTGTGTACTTTGAATGAGCCCAAAGGTAGAGGGGGAACTCATTCTTCCAGAAATCTCAGGTTTTTTATCTGGTCTCCGAGAAGTTCTGACTTCGCCAGCTGATAGCACTGCTTACACCATAGCCACTGCTGTCTGGAAGAAAAGGATGCACATGCTACTATGAATCAGCAGACAGAAAACTTTCTTTCTGTTAAGCACTTGCCTTCTTGCGATGCAGGAGGGCAAGAAATGAACAGCTGGGTCCCTCAGCGTTGTCTCCCAAGGGCATCAAATGAACCACCTCCAGTTGTGCAATGCTGTTAGCAATGCTATTTTCAGGAAAAGGCAAACTCTTCTGACAGGTGTGGGACACCAAGGAGCCAGGCACTGTGCTGCACTGCATTAGAGTTGCTCCTCTGCCTGAGCTGAAACCAGCCTTGGAGCTGGGGAATGTGCAGAATGTGGAAGTGCAGAGAGCTGGCCCTGTTCTCGCTGTGAGGGGACTCTGACTGTAACATTAGAGCATATTTCAGAGCTTTGGTAAACACAGCTGAATATCCTAATAGTTTTCTCCTGGAATTAGTCTTGGCTGGTTTGAGTGACTGTTGGTGTGGAGGAATCTAAAGAGGAACTGTTAGTGTTTAATAACTCTGGGATACAGGCACTGAAACCAAAACTCAAAACACAGCATGTGAGAAACTTCTGAAGAAGTATTGGTCTGTGGGAGATACACAGAAGCAAACATGCCAGGAGAGCTTTAAGGACATGAGAAGGTGCCCAACTCAGTGGGCACAGCAGGATTCTGCTTCTAGACTGTATTTTCCTGTACACAAATATGTGCATTTTCTCTGGATGCCATGAGTCAGGCGATGCTCCTTCCAGCACCACATGCCCAGTGGCTCAGTGTTCATCCCAAACAATTCTGACACTGCACGAGTCTCTGAAGCCCTAAGAGCAATGAGATGAAAATGAGAGTAAGTGAAAATTATGGTAACACCTGGGCTGTACCTCAGGAGACTAGGATCCAATCATGCTCTGTCCAAAGCCCTGAGGCTTGGCCTTTAAGACTGAACCTGGAGGCTTTCTTCTGCTATTAAATACACTGGACTAGCTCTTCAAAGTACTCTGGAGTGTCTCTCACCAGAGACATGTAGCTTCTGTAACCAAAGAAGAAAAGGCATGCTGTGTTGCAGGAGAGAGGGAACAAAAAGGCAGAGAAAAAAGTCAAGTTAAGGGAACTTCCCCTACACAAACATACTTCACAGCTCTCCAGACCTTCTCAAAGGCAATAAAATACCTGCTATTTTATTGGCAGAAATGCTGAAACAGAGGCTGATACCTCAGCTCAGTATGTGATGCCACACTGGAAGCAGAGTTCAGCTATGGTGGGTCTGCCCTCATAACCAATCCTCTGCCTCAGACATTATGGACAGGGCAGAATTTGTGCTAATTTTGTTGCCAATCAAATCTAACTGCTAGTTGTTCTACCCAACATAAAATTTAAAAGGATGAGCACTAAGATTCAAGCAACAGTTTCTGTGATAAGAACTGCAGTAAAAGCTAGCCAACACAAAACAATATGGACACAAATCTACAAGGTGGTGTCTCTAAATTAATTCTATTTGTTGTTTTAAGTGACAAGACCCTTCTATCTCCTTTTTGGAGGCTGGAGTCTAGATGTTTGCAAGCCTCTCCTGCTGCCCTGGAGAATGCACAGATTTGAACACAGATGTGGTGACTGTTGAAAAAAGAGTGTTTTTTGGCTGAGAATTTGCTCTTTTAAGTGGAGTTATTTTGCTCTTTATATCTCTTGTAGTTTCCATAGATATAATCAGGAGACATTACTTGTGAAGCAACCAATGTAGATATGGCCCTAGGCAATTCCCCTTCACTCAGTGCAGCTCAGGCAAGCTGAAAGTTTGGACACCCATGAAATAGAGGAAATACAACCAGATGAACTGTTTCCTTTTCAAATAGTTGCTTATTTTGCCACACCAGTGCTTTGAACAAATCTCTGCTGAGGCAACAGGCTTTTGTACAGTTGCATTTAGTGGTAAAGAGTCCCCAGACTCTGTGCCTGAACTGAGTCACTTTAGAATGCTGCCAGCTTTGCTGCACACTTCTGGATTTGGTACATGACAGCTGTGCCCCGGCTCCTGACTGGCCACTCTGTTCAGACCCTATGATCCCTGAAGCTGCTGTAATGACTGTGGGAATTAAGAGATTTCAATAATACCAGACCCTTGGCAATTCTTTGCTCAAGGCTACATACTCTGGGATAAGTATGGCACCTACTCTTTTCTGTGATGGGTAAACAGATCCCACCTTCAACATCCTGTTTGTATCCTTATCTGGGAATTCACTGTCTCATTGGGTTTCAGACCAAGTGTGATGCAATTAAGGGCCTCACATAAATATCCAGACATCCTGTTTCAGTAAATATTCAAGTGTCAAAAGAATCCAAACAAAGCAAAGCCATGCTCTACGTGAAGAGCACATATTAGTTTTTCCAAGTGGGCATTTGCATGTTTGTTTGTTTATACCCACGGCCCACTTTCACCCTATAGCAGTATTTTGTCTAACTGCATCCTATCAAATACCATCTTGGCTTGCTCTATTACTGCTAAGGACTTATTCTTGTAGACAGAAACACCCCATATCCTCTGTAGTGTTAAGAAGTGATTCTGTACATTGTGTAAGGCTGTACCTTTATTCTCAATTAAATTTTTGTATCAGTTGAAGATATGCTGTCCGTGATCCCACATCACCATAAAGTGCTGTGCTCTCTGAAATTAATCTGATTTGGGATTCTAGTTTAAGGCCTCAGCACACTGTCCTGAATCCAAATGCAGTTTGACAGCAGAACTGCCTGCCTGTGATTAAAAGTGAGATAAACAGGTGATGAGAAGTATGAGGGACTTTTAGATTAATCAGACATCAGGAGGGTCAGAATTAATTCACAATTTACACACATGTTTTGCAATTAATGTTGATAGAAAGAAAGAGGAAAACATACACAGCAATTAAATGTGGTTTTGTTAGATTCTTCTGTTAAATGTACCCAGCTGTTGTGGGGGCTTCAGCTTTTGTGTAGTTGAGATTCAACATCTAAGCAGAGGAGAAGGAAGGGGGGAAAAAAAACAAAACAAAAAAAAAAAACAGGAAGGCTGAAGCTGTGTTCTAAAATCTGTCACTATTCAAGTGTTTGGACATAATCACCTAGAAAACAGGAAAAGTGTCCTAACAGTCACAACTGAGCTGGTAAGGGGTGGTAAATAGCTGTAGGTCTCTATTTCTGCCATCTCCATATGTGTTTCTACGGAAAAATGAAGATACCTTTTCAATTAACAAAATAACCCTTCAAGTCTATAGATCTCTTCTCTGGAAGAAGCATCAAGAGCACTGTCTCAAAGTGGGGCTTGATAAATACATGAGATTATATTATATAGATAATCAGGACATCACTTCAGTCTTATGCCCCATCGAGAGAAAACTTTTTGAGTTACTGATAACAAAGTAATTCTGTTCTTCCTTCTGCTGTTCTCCTTGTGCACTCCTCTAGCAATTGTTATTGTATTGAATCAGGCCTCTGGTGAAACTACTCTTTTGCCTGAAATAACCAGATCCTTCCTTTCAGCCCAGTTGTGGAAATGAATAAGAAAAGCCTGAATGTTAGGAAAGGTGAATTATCGACTCCTTGGTTCTGCGATTAGTTTGCATTAGAGCTCGTAAAACCACCTGCTGACTACTGTCAAACTTCTGCCAAGTCTTCTAATCAAAACTCAGGGCAACAGATGGTATACCCAGAAGCCTGTGGGAATTACTGCGAAAATGCAGGAAATAGTAGAATTCCAGAGGAACAGTGTTTCTTCTCAAAGGATGCGGGGAGTCACAAAGAGGTTTAAGAAAAACTATCCTGCAAGAAAAGCTGCTTTATTGCTAATTAACTTTCCCTGCATGCAATTAATTGAAGACAGGGGAGGAGAACTCAAAACCTGCAATGACAGGCAGTCACATCATAGTTTATCAAGAATTACACACGACCTCCACAAGTCACCGAAACACCAGCACAATCCTGGCACCATGTGTGCAAAAGATCACAATGCTGGAACACACCACAGGAAAGCATGACCTGCTTACTTCAACCTTCTTTTCAATTGGTGATGGATCCAGCCTACCAGCTTACATTGCTGTCTAGTCACAGGCTGAAAACTCCGCTATGGAGTTCTCTTTCTCTGAAAGAGTGGTCAGGTACTGGAATGGGCTGCCCAGGGAGGTGGTGGAGTCATTGACCCTGGAGGTGTTCAAGGAACGTCTGGATGTTGTGCTGAGGGATGTGGTTTAGAGAGAACTATTGGTGATAGGTGGATGGTTGGACTGGATGATCTTGTAGGTCTTTTCCAACCTTGGTGTTTCTGTGATTCTGCGATGTGTGGGTGTGGTACTTGCTTAGGTGGGTAGTTATGGGATAACAAAACATGGAGGGGAAAAAAACAGGGCACAGAACACACAACGTTGTAAAACTTAAACATTCACAGTGAGATAGGGGACAACAACAAGTAAGGGAAAGAGGGAGTAAGAGTAGTGAAGTAGTAAAGCAGTGAGTCACACTTTTCCCCCTCCTAATGTTCTTGCATCATGGCACTGCAAGATGAAGATTAAATGTTATTTTTAATAAGTCTGGCCTATATGTCTTAGAGGTGACACGATTTTATTTACATAAATATGTCAGATGTCAGTTTAATATAGGTATGCTAGCACCACCTGATTTGAGGCTTGCATTAGACAAATCCCTTGCCCCATGCCTGCAAACACTTTCCCCATGCATGGGCAGGATTGAACACAGCTGCAGAAAATTACAGACAAGTGAGGAATTGTAGAACCTGGCTCATTAATCTTCAGTGCTAACAGATGTTTCCAAAGTCACCCAGCTGATATTCTCAGAAATAATTTAAATATATGTAATTCACATGTACAATTCAAAATTACCCTCCAGAAGAGCAAAACTGCAGCAGCAAGTTGCAGCTTCTGCTGTCACTCACCATCCAACTTGGCTTTTTTTTTTTTAACACCCATATCAGCTGTCAGCACAAGTGTTGTGGATCTGGATTCAAAGATGTTTTTTAAACCTCTGATTACACAGCCTACATTCTAGCTATGGAAATGAGGCCAGGTGGATTCTATATTTAAAAGCCTGCTAAAGACCACAGCTAAAATAGCAGAGCTATTACCAGAGCTTTGGGGCTTAAAGGGCTTCATGGTGCCTATATGTCTGAGAGAAGTGCTGGCTTTATCTCCTTGTTTTACGTTTCATTCATTTTACTTACTAACAGGATTTTAGGTATCTCAACAGTGTTGTGCCTAGCTCTGCTGTCTTTCCCCTCATTAGCCTACGGATGGTTCCCTTCCCAGTGTTTATGTGCCATCTCCACCCTTGTTAACAGAACACCAATTTGCTGTTAACACCACACCCTGACTGTCCTGCACCACCCAATGTTTATTTTCACCAGAGAAGCTGCAGGTAATTTCCAAGCACCTTGAAAAGCACGGTAATAAGGTAGAAGAGATGCTCAAGGAGAACAAGGGCACCAGGACTCTCATCACACTTTGCAGAAGATGAATCCGAAGCATAAAGTCTCAGTGTTTCTAGTCCTAGTACAGCTCCTTTCCTTTTTCTGTTTTCCTAATTTTTTTTTCAGCCCTACTGCTCTGGGACACACTCCTACTTCAAAGTCCCTGCCCATCCAGAAGCTAAAAGCATTAGCTGGGTTTTACCTTCTAAACTTTCTATTAAAAGATTTGCTGGCTAACCCAGGAGAACAACACATGCTATTTGATTTGCTACACAGTCAGATGTGCCACAAACCTCTGAAAAATGTATGAAGGAGCAAAGGTATGTACAACACAGATATGAGGTATTATGGGGGGATGGTGACATTTGGTTTTGATTTCTTTGTTTGATCGTGGCTTTTCTGTTGTTGTTATGGAGTAGGGAGTCTTATTTGATCTTGTTTGTTTCACAAATTGATTTATCGATTTTAAAATGAATAGAAATATTGATTTTATTGTTTAAGATTTTTTGGTTGAAAAAGCCAAGTTTTCTGCTGAGCTTCTGCAGAATTATACCTTTTCCAAATTCTGAAAAGAGCCTGGCTGTCCTCATGTTCAACCTGTTCAAATGTGTTGAATTAAATTAGATGTAAAGCTTTGTACATTTGTGTCCCAATGGTTTTAGGGGTAGCATTTTGGTCTGAAAGTGTAGCACAGGCTTTCATGCCAGTGGTATGTTTTAGAAGTATGGTAAAAGAAAATCCAACAAATTCAAACTATACAAGTAAAACTGTAATGGTTTTCTATTACCTTAATAGAATGGGCAACGAGGAAGAGCCACATTTGGGGTATGAATCGCATGTCAGTGGTTTAAAGATGAAGAACGTTAGTAAAGATGCCCAGAATCCAACTTTCTTATGCCAGCCTAGATTCTGATACAGTATTCATACTGGGACTACAAAACAGGCAGCTTTACAAGATTATCTTTGTTTGCGATAGCCTGAGCAGGCTGTCCACAAAGGAGCTAAAGAAAGCAGCTTACCTCCTTGCTAGTTTGGCTGCATCTGCTGCAGCACTTCCATTGACCAGAAGGGACACGTTAGATACAGCTCCAGCTAGGAAACACTCCACGATGCCTTGGTTTCTCCGAGGGCAGTAGCCGAAGTCATCTCCAGTTACTATTAGCTTTGCCTGAAACATCCTTAGAGGTCATCGCTAGTTTAAAAAATAAAAACAAAAAAATAAAAAATCAGCAATTTGCAAATTGGAAGCAAGGAGAAAAAGGCAGGCTCAGCGAGGTCAAACCCAACCGTGACAGCTCTTCGTGGACTCCCGCGTCACTTCAGCCCGCCTGCTGTCTCACAGTTCGTACAGCAGCTGGACTGGTGCGTGGTGGCTCAGCTCACACCGCGCCTGCTTCCCGAAAGCAAGCACCAGAGCCTTCCTCTGCAGAAACGCAGGCCGCGCTGAACCGCGTAAAAGATCGGGGGCTCTGTGCGCTAGTTTAACAGACCGAGGGCGCATCAGAGGGTTCAAATTCCCAAGCCTCGCCCGCAGGGCCCAGAGCGAGGCGGCAGAACTGCAAAGCGCCTGTCCTCCCCGCCGGCCCGCAGCGCGGCCAGCACCGGCGCGTCCCCGAGAGGACGCGGGCCCCCCGGCGGCGCGTACCTCCTCTCCCGACCGCTCCCGCGCCGGGGGCCGCCGCCAGGGACGGGTGCCCGCAGCCGCCGTGCGCGTAGCGCTCCCGGTCGCCGCCGCTCCGAGGGCGCCGGTTCTGCCGGCGGAGCTCCGCGCGCACCTCGCACGTCCCACCGCTCCTCCGGCGCCGCCGCGCGGCCCCCGCAGGCGGCTCGCCCGCGCCGAGCGGCGGCCCCGGCTCCTCCGCGGCGCTGCGAGCACCGGGACCTTCCGCTGGCGGCCCCTGGCGGCCGCGGCCCGCGGCGACGCAGGAGGGAGGCTGCGGGGAGGCACCGGGCGCCGCGCGGCGAGGAGCGGTGCCGGAGGGGCGCCTCGGCAGCTGCAGGCGTCGTGCGCGGGGAGGCTCGTGCCGGCGGCTGCGGGTGCTGCAATTCCGTTACTCTCTTTGACTGCTCCGGTACGAAGTGAACCCCCCCAGCAGTGCCGCTAATACGTGGCTCCTCGGCCCGTGATCTCCACCGTACCACTTGTATCTTTCCCCCACCTTGGCTTGCCGGCGGTCTGAACTCCCCAGTCTTAGAACTCCATTTCAGCCGACTCTGCTCAGGAAATACCCACAGCTCTCAGCTCCCGACCGGGGAAGGGCAGAGAGAACACAGTTCCGGGAAGGGCAGCTCCTAGCACGTGCTGTCGCTCGGGGTTGGATGTAAGCCAGTTCTCCATCAGGCTGTGTATAAAATCCTGCTTGCCCTCGCATTCAACTGCCGTTTTCCCTTACTGTAGAAAAATTACAGTTGACCGACCAGAGTGAAAGTGAAAAAACGCACCGAGTAGCTCAGAAATGTTGAATGGGAGATGTTATCAGCTTGCAGAAAGAAAACATGAAGTTCCAGCAAAGCAGAACACGCCCCTTCCCAGTCTGTAATGTTACTTCAAATTATTCGTCCATTCGCATTATAGCAGAAAAAATAACAATCTGATGTTTGGAGCAGGGAAAGGGTGATAGTTCAGAAAGCACTGGGATAACACGTCTGTGAATTCAGGGTTACCGTTAACCACTTCTAAGGAGCAGGGGTGCAAAAGTGGGAGGTCTGCCCACTTAGCGACTCCTTTCCCATAAAAAAGATTACATGGAATTTATTTTTTTTTTTTAATGAGAGATATATAGTCTTCCTATACTTCCAGTTTCTATATGTCCAGTGTCTTCTGCTTACTTAGCTATTTACCTCATTCTTACATTCTACTTTTGTCTACTGAATGCAGAATTATAAATAGCTGATTTGGGGTGTTTAATCCTTAAACAATGTGAGGTAGATAATAAGCTGCAATTCTAACATTTTTGGCAAGCTACTCTTTAGTCATTTTGATTTCTCCTTAGGTAACAGCATCCTGTTGATATTACTACTGCTTACTATTTGTATTATAGCCATGCTTAGAGGTCACAGAAGAGGTCTAGTGCAAGGCATGCCAATTGATACAAATATTTGATCTGGAATGAGGTTATAACTCTCCGTTCATCAGCATGGGTGCAAAAGGAGGAGACAGAAAAAAACACAGCATGTTTACAGGCCTGATTCTCTACTGCTACTCTCTTGTACTCAGTAGTTTGTCCTTACTGCCACCAGTGAAAGGACAAGGTGCACAAAAAAGTTCATGGAAAAGCTCATGCAGACTTATTTTTGCACCAGATTCTAGTAAGGTCAGAACTGTGCCCCATATATTTTGCCTGGGGTTAGTGACAGTCCAGGAAACAGAAACCAGGCAATATTATTGCAATGTTCTTCATAAATCAGAGGCTGTCTACATGCAAAGATGCACTACTTCTTTCTGAGGTGTACATCAATCCCAGGAGTTGTCTGCCATGCTACCTTGGTTGTCACTGCATGCTATTGTTGCATGCAGCAAACAGAAAACTTAAAGCATTTTATAAAAAGGCCAATATAAAAAGAAGGAAAATCCTTTTCTGTAATACATTCCTTTGGGTTAGTGTATTCCCTCTGAAATTTTCATGTGCTACAGATCTCCTATTCCTGTACACCAAAATTACATTAAAATCTGCTTTTCAGGGAGGGCCAGGCTGTACTTAGAGGTGCACCTGAGTGGAAATTGTAGGTGCTTTTAGTCCTTGAAAATCAAGTATATGAAATAACTGCAGGGTTAAGTGTCTGAAAACAGAAGGCACTGTAGTTGCACACCATATACTTCACTTTTGCAGCACTGCTGAATTTTTCTGTGTGTGTGAAGAAGCAGCACAATGAGATTCCTATCAAATATGCTGTCGTTTCCATTCCCAACATGCACCATTAGTTAATTTCAGTGGCAAGTTTACCTGCAACTTACAGCATTCTGCTAGAAACAATGGTGGGCCCTGTAGCAATGAGGTGGTTGTTAATTGCCATGGGTGTTTGGCATTGATAGGGTTCTTTGTTGGCAACTGTTCTAACCCAATTACATTTCTAAAGTACAACCAAAAAGCATTGTAGGGAGTACCGTGTAAATAGTACTAAATGCACTGAGGCTGAGCAACCTCCCAGAAAGACAGACAGGTGCCAGCTAAAGCCCCATATGATTGATTTTCCATGGCTAAAATGGCAACTACAGACATCTGTTTTTGCTATATGCGTAACAAGTGCAAACGTGAGCTCCTGTCTTAGCAACGTTTCTTAAAATGACAAAGAAATATAGCATTTGGCTATCGATGTAAGATTTTTTATTTTGTGTGTGTGAAGAAATGTACTTCTGGGACTACGAAGTTTTAGTCCTCAGGTAAACACACCGGGCTGGTGTGTGTGCACGCAAATATGAACATGTGAGCGAGTTTAGGACACAGGCTTCTTTTAAAGCAAGTCTGACATTTAAGTCAGAAATTCTTCTTAGATCAGATACATAAAACAGGCCAACGTGAAAAAAACCCTGAGCATTCAAGTGAGTGGTATCACATGGGTAGGAAACAACCTCACAGATTGGTGGAAGAGATAAAGGGTCATCTGAGCATCTTATGATGTTTCTGCTAGCCAGCAGTACTAATGTGTTTTCTAAATCATCCCATTATAGAAAAGTGCAATGTTGCAGTTCTGTGCTGTTGCCAGTGCAGAATACAATCCTTACAAATAATTAAATCCCAAGGCAGGTGCTCTTCTATGTGTTACTGCATTGCTAAGAAGGTAAAAAGCTTTTCCTCTGTTAAATGATGCTGATTTTGGGAGCGTCACACCAGACTGTCCCTGAGATATGGGTCAATTCAGTGATGAGTTTCAGAGGCAAAAGCTAAAGGACTGTGTAGGAGTTCCTGTGTTCTTTGTCCATAGCTGTTCCCTACTGATAAAGGAGGCTGTGCTGCTACTATTTGCAGGGGGGAAAACCCTTCAGTCTCCAGCACTCTGCAATGAAGTACAACGCTTTCTTTATCCAGCTTCCTTTTATACAGAACAGGTCCTACTGATCTCTTTATACTAGAAGAATTTTACAAAAAGAACCGAAACACAGCAGATGAACTTTCAGGCGCAAACCAGACACGACCACACAGCCAGCCGTACAGCAGCCAGCCTCAGCTCTCCCACGGCGCTTACACCCCGGCACGAGAAGCTCTAAAGCAGAGCTTCACTATCACACAATTTGCTCTGCGTTTCCCTGCAAGGCCTGTCGCCAGCTACTGTTTCTCTAACGGTCCCGACTACGCGTTCGATGAGGACGCTGCTGTAACAAACCTGCCGGCTGTCCTCTGACCCCAATTTTCAGCAAGGGGAAGCTCCTCGCGAGGGGTTTCCCAGTGCCCGTGGGAGCACCCAGGGGCGATACCGCTCCGCGCCCGGCCACAGCCGCAGCAGGGGTTGGGAGCCGTGCGGGCCGGTGCTGCGGTGGGCGAAACCAACGGCCCACAAAAGCCCGATCCCGGCGCAGAGCCGCGCCCGGGCCGTCGCTGAGGTAAAAGCGTCTCAGCCCGCCCTCGCGTCCCTCCCCGGGAGGCGCCACGCCGCTTGCTCTGATTGGTCGCCTCTTTGCCTCGGCCCAATGAGCTCCTCCTGCCAAGCTGCGAGTTCTCTTGGTCGCGGTCCAACGCGAGATGGAGGCCGAGTGGAGGGGGGGCGGCGATTGGTTGACTGCGGTGCTGGCGGCGAGCGATTGGCTGAGCTCGCTGAGGGGCTGCGGAAGCGCGCTCCGCAGTGTGGCGGCGGTGCCGGGTGGGCCGCGGCGCGATGCGGGGTGGCTGCCGCCTCCTCCCTCTGCTGCTCCTGTGCGGGCTGTGCGGCGGAAGGGAGCTGGCGCCGGGCGCCGTAACCTGCGGCTCGGTGCTGAAGCTGCTTAACACCCGCCACAGCGTTCGGTTGCATTCTCACGAGGTCAAATACGGCTCCGGTGAGCGGGGTGGGCTGGGAGGCGCCGCGTTGAGGGGCCAGAAGCTGGGAAGTGGCGGCGGGAGCGCTGAGGTGGCGAGGGAATGGCGGGAGGGGGGCAGGGGAGCGGGGCGGGAAGTGGCCGCGGGAAGCTGTGAGGGGGTCGGGGGATGAAGCCGGAGGTTGCTCCGATCTGTTGCCGAGGCGGCGGTGGGACTGTGGTGGGGGGGGGAGGGGAGAACGCGGCTGTGGCCCGGCGCGCGGCGAGGCCGTGCGTCTCCTGCGTTGTGGAGTGAGGGGATGCTTCGCCTCTCCTTGAGGTGAGCCCTGCGCTGCGCCAGCGGCCTCGGTTCTTCAGTCTGAAGGGTACGGTACCTGCATTCCCACGGCAGCCGGTAAATGGGCAGTAAGAATTAAGTGTGTCTTAGTACTGTCGTGTCTTCGTGTTTAAAGCGGCTTTCCTCAGGTCTTTCAGGACTTCCTGAACTCAAGAAGTGGGTTAGGTCTCCTGCCATTTAATTCTGTTCCAACAGGAAGTGGGCAACAGTCGGTGACAGGAGTTGAAGCTTCAGATGATGCCAACAGTTACTGGCGGGTTCGTGGGAAGGCTGATGGCAGCTGCCAACGCGGAACCCCGGTGAAATGTGGGCAGGCAATACGACTTACCCATGTAAACACAGGAAAAAACTTACACACACATCACTTCCCATCACCGCTCTCCAATAACCAAGTAAGTTTTCTTAATCATAAGTTTTTGTACAAATAGTGCATGATTGATACTGACAATACCTCTTTCCAGATTTCTTGCTTTTGAAGAATCAGGGTT